ACCGTGCTGGATCTCGTCTCGTAGAGTCGTAGGCTCGTATCGCATCAATACGACAGATGGTAGATCGTACGGAGACAATAACCCAATCACGTTGATTACCGCCTTAACGAATGTGGTGGGACAGATCAGACGGTCGTGATGGAGAGACAGGAGGACCACCACCTCCCACAGGTTTTACAATGCGGTGGATAAATCGTAGTGGAGAGCGGAAAAGTTGTCTTTTGGGACCACGGCACGATATCTTCGATGGTCCCACACCAAATTGGTAATTATCATGACTCATTGACCTAGAACATTCTACATGGTATGTTTCTTATCATCACCATCAAAAACAATCACGCAATCCAGATGTCTTCTCTCTCTAAACTTTTATTTGCAATAAAACTCCTTGAATTTTCAGATTTCAATACTATATCTCTTTTTCCTATTAATTAAAGGGAAAATTCCTAATAGGTATTCTATACTTTAGGTCGAGTGCAAATTTAGTACCTATACTTTAAATCGTGACAATCTAGTATTCTAACTTTCGATTTGTGATAATTTGATATCCGGTGTTAAATTTTTGTTAGTTAGAAGATAAAAAGTCTTAAATACTCCCATCTGTTTCGATTATCAATTAAAATTATGAAAATAACCCATCATCTATTTCGACCAATGCAAGTGGGAACCACTGTTCCTACTTATATTTACAGATAATCTGAAAACCAGCTCCTTGACGTTGGTGGTGTCAAGCGAATGCATCGCCGGAGAAGACGACTTGTTGTCGGCGCCGAAGAGACAACCTACCCCATTCTAGGCTTAGTGATTTCTGATGAAACAAATGCATCAACACAAGTATAGAGCACCTGTTCTTTAGAAAGAAAGCCATGACTCCAATCACTCGTTGTAATTTCTCTAAGCTTAGTGACGCCCTCTCTGCCAAGAATTGCTTCCGCCAAGGCCTCCATGGAAGCTTGCAAACTCATATCCATTATCGCTGCTACAACACGTTGAACGTCCACAAGACAAGAAATAGACAGGTTGTGCTTCGACTCCCTCAGCTTGGCTTCATCACTGTAGTTCCAGATACCAACAAAGGTATTTTGATAGTCAGAGAGGAACCAACGGAGGATTCAAGGGACATACCGGACGTGGAAGAGATGAAGGACTAAACAGTGTCGACCGACGCAGAGCTACAATGTATATGCTTGTGATGGGTCATCTAGGGGCCACTGAATGTCGAGGCCGATGACTAGTTGGTTGCGTCGGGCACTGTAGAAGTGGCGGATTTTGTAGACCCATTTCCTCACAACAGCAGCGTTGGAGGTGACAATGGAGGCGTAGGAGGCAAAACCGATTTCAGGTCCCCAATCCGGATTTGCTTAGGGATCATTTCTGGCTCTGGTCCCAACCGATTTCATGTCCTCGCACTGTTGTGACAAGTTGCAGGTTGCAGCGGTGATGAAACACTGTCGTCGCGTCTATTCGTTCACAGGGAAGAAACCGCGAATCAGGGGGGTTTTCCGAGAAGAAGAAGAAGAAAGAAGGAGAAGTGGAAAGAAGAAAGAGAGGGAGCGCGGGTGGGCGAAGAAACCGCCGCTGCCCGAAGTTGCAATGGCGGTTACTGTTAAAAGAAAAACAGAGGGAGCTAGAGGAGGAGGAATAACTTTTTACCCAATTGGCCCTGGTTGTCTCTTCGGCACCGGCAACAAGTCGTCTTCTCCGGCAGCGCATTCGCTTGACACCACCGGCGTGAGGAAGCTAGTTTTCGGATTCTCTGTAAATGCAAGTATGAGCAATGGTTCCCACTTGCATTGGTCGAAATAGATAATGGATTATATTCGTAATTTTAATCGGTAATCGAAATAGTTAGGGGTATTTAGGACTTTTTATCTTCTAACCAACGGAAATTTAACATCGGGTACCAAATTGTCGCAAATTGAAAGTTCGGGTACTAGATTGTTGCGATTTAAAGTACGAGTACTAAATTGGCACTCGATCTAAAGTACAGGGTACCTATAGGGAATTTTCCTTTAATTAAATTGATGGAAAAAGTTAATTTCAAAATGCCCTTTGGAGTAGGTTGATATTGCAAACCTAACCAAAAGAAGTTTTGCCAATAGCCATCACTAGTTTTTTTAAGCTCTAACATTTATCTTCAAAGCATCTTCTATTCCTTTCTTTCCAAATACACCAGCAAGCAACAAAAGGAATACAAATCCATAGAAGCTCAATTTGAAAAGAGTACAAATACAAATATGTACAATACAAATACATATAGCACACTATCCATAGCTATGAGCCAAGATAAAGCTTCCACCATTAGAGGCACCTGATTGCCCCAAATGCCTTCATCCTAATCAAACTCCAAATGATTCTTGCACAAGCTTGAGGTAGCAGGATTTGATTGTATATTTGCCATTAAAACATTCCTTCCACCATAGCTCATCTCTCAAGTGGTTTGAAACCTTTGTCCCCTCTAGCTTTTCTAGCAAGTCAAAACCTTCTTCCACCTCTCCTATACCTTGGACACTAGATCCATTAATCCCCAAGTAAAGCTCTCCTCCTCCAACTTATCCACCCTATTCCAATAATCTCCTCAAAATCTTATCCCCTCCCCATCACCAAAGGAAAAACAAGTGAAATTCTTAAACTCGTAGTTGAATTTTTTTAATACCTTTCCACACATAAACGACTTAGGAAGCTCTAAACTCCATTGATTCCCATCCAAACCTAACCACCCCATATTTCTCCACCACCACTCTCCTCCCCAACGGATGAAGAAGTGCCTTAATAAAAGATCTCACTCTTCTAAATCTCCAAATCCCTTCCCTCTTTTGGTCTATATACTTTATCCCATTGGACCAAATGAAATTTATTGGGACCCCTCCTCCCACTCCTTCTCATGAGTAAGTTGATATTTTCAAAATGATGAAAATGGGCAAGATAAAACAAATTATCTCTTTCTTGCATACTTTGAATGAAGAAAAGTGTCATTTACTAGAACACTCCTTATAGTTTCACTGATTTACTTAAATCTACCCTATAGTTTACATTTTACTAAAACACTTCTTATAGTTTGTAGCCTATCTATTTAATCGACCTTCCATTAAGAACTATTTGTTTTCCACATGAAAATAGTAACATGATCACCTAAATTAAGTGGAAAATGTTTAAGGGCATGGACCCATGGTTGCTTATTCCAAAAGTACCCCTAAACTGAGTAGAAAATGTTCAAGGGTAAGGATCCATGGTTGTTTATTCCAAAAGTACCCAAACACTTTTTTGTATAGAAAACAAAATTGACAAATTAGAGAAAAATAGAGTGGTTGTCTGTGTTTTACTAGGGGCAAAAATGGCATTTTGTTTTTAGTTTATTTTTATTAAATTTATTTGAATGTGTGTTAGTGTTAAAGTGTCATTTTTCCACTTTCATCTAATCGATTAAGTAAATTGATTACAAACTATAAGAGATGTTTTAGTAAAACACAAACTATAGAGTAGGTTTTAGTAAATTCGTAAAACTATAGGGAGTGTTTTTAGTAAATGACCCAAAAAAATAGAAGAAAGAAACACAAGGATCTCCTACCAACAAAATATGTTACAACAATATCCCAACAAACATGTTCCAACAAACTACCAACAAAATGTGTTCCAACAACCTACCAACATGATCCAACATCTCACATCTCACCATGAGTAGACATTTTCATGGGTTGGCCGGGCCGGGCTTTTACTCTTCATTAACAGAATTTTTTTCAAGCCTGAGCCCGAGCCCGACCCTCATAAAAAGCCCGAAGCCTGACTTAATAGAGATGCTGACTCCAAAAGGCTCTGAACATTTCATGGATGAGATGGGAGAGAGTAGCGGTCACCGCCGGAGACAAAGAGACAGAGAGAGGAAGATAACAAGAGAGAGAGAGAGAGGACCTGGTCACTACCGAAGACAAAGAGATAGAGAGAGGAAGATAACAAGAGAGAGAGAGAGAGAGAGAGAGAGAGGACCTGGCCACTGTCAGAGAGAGAGAGGACCTAGTTTGTTGGTGGCGCTGGTGCCTGACCCAATAGAGATGCTAACTCCAAAAGGCTCTAAACATTTCATGGATGAGATGGGAGGGAGTAATGGTCATCGCTGGAGAGAGAGAGAAAGAGAGAGAGAGAGAGGACCTAGTCACTGCTGGAGAGAGAGAGGACCTAGTTCGTTGGTGGGGCTGGTGCCTGAGACTTTAAGAGTGATAATGAGAATATAAAACAATGAAAAGAGGGAAAGTAGGAAAGGGTTAGTCGAGTTAGGGATTTAGGGTTTAGAAACTATAAAAAGTCGGACTTGGGTCGGGCTTTTTTGATAAATCCCGAACCCGGCCCGAAAAATAATTGAGCCAGACTTTTAGGCCTAAGGTCACCCACAAGTTAAAAATCATGTTCAAGTCCATATGGGAGTCAAGCCAGACTGGGTCATCAAGCTGCGCATGAACAGGTCTAACCATGAGTTTGGGACACACCATGCATGAGATGTGCAATGGGACTGGCCATGCATGAGATGTATAGTGAGATCAGTTGGAACGTATTTATTTTATTGATAAGAGATCTAGACTCAAGAAGAAAATGTTTGTGCAATTATGAAAAGGCAAAACGGCCTAATAAATTAAAAAAAAAGGGTAATTTGAGGATTTAGAAATTTTTAACAAGCATATGAAATCTGACCGAATAGGACAAAGTGTTGGAATCTCAAAGTTCGGGGGCTAAGTGTCAATACTCAACAGTATGGGGTGGAAACTTTAATTTATCTTTGTACGTAAAGCTCTAGTAGTCTAGCCTACGTATATCTCTGTCTCTATACAGCGACAGTGTATGACAACGACAAGTATATACGAGACATGAACGGCTGTAAAATGCTCGTACGGAGAAACTAACAATGTGGTTCCACCGTACGGCTCAGATGTGGAGTCTCCACTAAATAAACCTTCTCCGGTTGCCGCTGTTTTCATTATTTTGTGTTATTCTTCAAATTTTATATTTTATTTTCTTTTTACAGGTACGCATCAATCATCTCAATTCCCAAGCCACCTGAAACTAACCGAAGAAGAAGCGAAACTTCAATTTGCCTCTCTCTCTCTCTTCACATGATGGTTGAGAGTCTTCTTCTACTCCTGTCTTTTATTGGTGCCTTATGACACGTTTCGACGTCGCTCCATTTCTGCTCTGTGAGAGAGGATGGGACGAGTGGACGACGTACCTAAATTCAGCACAAACGACGCTGGAGCAGTGATCGAGTCATCGGCTTCGTTCTTTCTATTTTAGTTCCGTGAAAGAAGTGGGTTCATTTTCTCGGTTTCTTTCGTTTCCAGGAGCAAGATCATTAGATTACTGCTATTGTAGGTAGAACCCACATGGTTAAAGCTCTGAACCGGCGGGATCACCGACTCCGAAGGGCTGAAGTCTCTGAATTCTGTACCGGGTATTTGAGACTTTTGTAGCTTTATCATTCTGTGGTTGAGATTCGCTGCTTGAAGCTGACCCCACGTGAAAATTGCAATCCGTCAAACATGATTGAGAGGATAAATAGAAATTAAAGGGATTATGGTATTTTTTCCTCTGCGAGGGAGATATTGTCATATTGAGCTATTTTATTTTTATCCTCAGACCTCAGGTGGGTTCGGTTCTTTTTTCTGAGCTTTGCTGGCATCAATTAGCAGCTCCTCTGCTTTTCTGAGCTGCGCTTCAGTCACTATAATTATTTCTCTAAGGTGGGTTTTTGGTTACTATTAATTAATTTCTGCTGCGGAGGTTCGTCTTGGTGATTTGGGTATCGAAGGATTTGCATTGGATAAGAAGAAGACGGGGGTTTTGACAGGCTTTACTTATTTGGCGCATAGGGCGCGTATGCCGGACTGAGTATGCCAATTGAAGTAAGACAGATGTTTTCCGCAATTTGGGTTCTAGTGAAATAATCAATTAAGTCGGATGGTTGGACTTTTGGATTTCAATTTTGAACTCGGTTGAAAGGGGAAGAGGGCAAGGGTAAGAAAGTTGTGAAATCGTGTGGAAAGGTTTCTTGTTTCTATGGCATCCGGATCAATTGACGAAGATACTAATGACAAAGGGAGCATGTGGGATTTGGATCAGAAGCTTGATCAGCCCATGGACGAGGAGGCTGGAAGAATTAAGAATATGTACAGAGAAAAGGTGAGATTAGTTTTGCTCTATTGCGAAAGTACACCTTTTTTTAGTCCCTCTTTTTGTTTTCCTGTTTTCTTCTTTTCCATTTGAAATCTTCACCCATGATCACGAAAATCCTTTTGATACCGCATGCTTTTTCTTTTGGGATACTTGGGCTTTTTATTATCTTACTATCTGCACTGCTAAACTGTTCTGACTTGTCAAATTGAAGTTGGTATTGGAAATTTTAGTTTTTAACATGTTGGTCCTCCACTGATTGTGCGTTCTACTCATTCAAATGGGAACTGGGAATACATTTAGGGGTTTATTGCTTGTTTTTTATACATGGGTTATGGCTTGTTGAGAGTGATTTCGGGGCTTGAATCTTGGGTTGGGTGCTGATTCAGTTTTTGTTTTCTCTGTTTGTGTGCAGAAATTCTCAGCAGTGTTGGTTTTGCGGCTTGCATTCCAGAGTCTAGGAGTTGTCTATGGAGACTTGGGCACGTCTCCCTTGTATGTTTTCTACAATACGTTCCCTCGTGGAATCGAAGATCCGGAGGATATCATTGGAGCTCTCTCATTGATTATATATTCTCTTACTCTTATCCCGCTCCTGAAGTACGTCTTTATTGTTTTGAGGGCTAATGATAATGGTCAAGGTAAATTTATCTCAGCCCATGAATTTGTGTTTAGACTTTGAGCATTATAGTGTCTGCATTTCACAGGATGATGTGGCCAGCCGCCTTTTTTTTTAAGATAAATAAAGAAAAAATCTTATTACCAAAAAGAGTTTACAGCTCATAGGTGACAAGAGGTCACCCCCAAGAAACAGTCAGACAAAAACAGAACAGACTTACAAACAGAATACATCAGAAAACCAGAAATTAAGCATTCAAGGAGCACCAAAAGTCTGCCCCAAAATCTTCTTTCTTTAGTCCTTGAAAATCTGGCAGGATTAACACCCAATCCTGAACTTTTAGCCAACATCCAATGATTTCAGCCTGATATTTTCTTTAGTCAGTGTTGGATCCTTTGCATGGTGGCCCCATGCATGCTCAGTTATAACATCTCCAAAGGGAGGTATAATCATTCTTTTGAAACAGGAGATTGATATAAGGCCTCAATTCTTAAAGAGTGTGAGGCTATGCCTGTGCTACATGGATACTTCAAAATAGGTTCTTGTCCATATTTGATTCTTCAAATTTTAGTATGAATTCCTTGTCTGAAACTTTGTTCATGCTTTGCTTGTGTAGATGGGTTGGGAAGTGGCACCTTTTTCTTTTGTAGGTTGGGTTTCTTAATTGCCCGGGGAAGTTAGGTTGATTACACTTGTTTATTCTGCATTATTTTGTGTGGATTTTCTTTTTGTCGATGTTATTTTGTGTTTCAGCCTTGTGAAGGCTTATCCTTTGTTATTTTTTCTAATATGCAATGCAACTCACATTTGGTAAATGAAGAAAGAATCGAAATCTTATAGGAATTGGGTGGTTTTGCCATTTTCCATGTTTGTTCTATACATCTATTCTTATTGATTAATAGGGAAAGCATGACGATTTTTGGGAGCCCCTCGCTTCCAATCTTACCCACTCCAGCAGGTAAACTGACAAAAAGATGTTGATCTTATGGATAAGCAACTAAACAGAGGGGTCAAGCCAACTTGGTTTACCAGTTTGACATTTGATAGACTGATAGATCTGACCATGATAAAAGTCTCATGGCTTCTTTTAAGGAAACGTGACAGCTGTCACCCATATTTTCATTGGTTATCAATGTGCTGTTGTTGGTTTCAAACTCTGATTAAGATTTAAATATTTACTGCAGAGCTGATTTTAGCCACTTTGGTAAATGATGCCCCAGATATTCTGATATATTCTAGGAATGTCTCAGTCTCTCAGACAATATTGCATATGTCTGATGGTTGCAAAAAGTGTTTAAGGAAATAGAGAAAAGTAACAGAAGTTCGTATAATTGTCTGTAACTATGAATGGCACAATTTGGATATTTTGCAATATTTTTCTTATAATAGTTATTAGGAGATACCCATAAGCACCCTTAAGTACAGATTGTCTCTGACAATTTTTTGCATCTAATGTTCATCTCTGTATGATACTCTGTTTTCATCTGCTCTTGAAATTGGTGGATTACTGATCTTCTGCTAAGCTTACCCTCTAACTTTTGCAGGTGGAACATTTGCTCTTTATTCGCTGCTCTGTCGACATGCAAAAGTAAAAACTATTCCAAACCAACACCGGACAGATGAGGAGCTAACAACATATAGTAGACACATATTCCCTGAGAAGTCATTTGCTGGAAAAACCAAAAAATGGTTGGAGGCACATGTGTACAGGAAGAATGCACTCCTTATTCTTGTCCTTGTTGGGACATGCATGGTTATTGGGGATGGCATTCTCACCCCAGCCATATCAGGTCTTACTCCATGCTTGAATTAGCTCTCTCCATTCTTCTTTCTTCCTTTATCACTTTTTCTATATTTTATATAGGAAGATTGTAAAACCAAGGAATTGTTACAAATGGTTGATCTTTCATTGAACCAATGCTTTAAAATGTGGACTATGCTAAGGTATAAGGCATAAGCCTCCCAGGCATAGATTTTTTTAATTAATAAATAATTAAAATAAATGTTGTAAATATCCCAAAATAGGAAAATATGAGAAATTAGTAAATTTCATATTTGCAGTTTCTAATAATAAAACCATTAAATTTAAATATAAATTTGACATTAACAGGTGTGTTATCTTATGTTCAATGAATTTAAAATGTTGAAACAATTAAAGCAATGGTGTCCTCATGTTTATTATAAATGTTATAATAAACAAGTTTGGAAGGTTTCCCTCCTCTGTATCATGTTAGCATCTAACAGGGTATGCAATTAAATGGCTTAAAACATAAGAGCATATTGGCTGTAACTGTAAGCCTCCTGTGTAAAGCACAATATCTGTGTATCTCCTGTATGCCTCCACCTGTTTCATTAGCATATCACATGGAGGGCCTCCAGCACTTTTTAAAACATTGCCTTGAAGATGTATGCAACTGTGAAGCTGTGGTCGTGAGATCTGGCACTGATGTGGAGATACACAATATAGAACTAAACTTAGCTTTTCAAATGCCTGATATATGGAAGTGAAATATTATATATTCTTTTATGGTATATATCCCTTAGCTGCATTTAATAAATGACCTTCCTAATAGCTTGATTTTTATGTGAACCTGCTGTGGAGTTGGTTTCATTGGATTCTTCTATGTATAGAGCTTTTCAATAAGTGGCCATCTTCCCTACTGGCAGTAACTTTTAGGTGGAAATAATTACATTACCTGGTAATCCTAGGTTTTTTCCAGCTTATGTTAGCATCTTTTGACTTGATTATCAAACAGATCTAGCTGAGGTTGGTATTCGTGAACCCCTCAGCCCACTCTTGCCATGCAATCATTGAAGAACCTGCCTAACCAACATGGATTCTGCATATAATTCAGGTTGTTTTTTCTTGAATCAGTGAATAAATTAGTGACTTCCTCTGTGTCAGTTACCAAATCAAACCTAACTGAACTTGAAACCTGATAATTGTCACCTTTAAGATGAATGAACCATATACTTTTTGTGCAGAAATGTCACTTGCTTGTACCAGTGGATCAAATTAGCTTAACAGTTTAGTTTTAGAATTTTATAGTTTCAGCTAATGGGCTGTTTGACAACAGCTTAAGTTGCTGAACTGAATGACTTATTGCTTTGTCTTTTAGTAGATAAAATAATTAAATAATAAAATATTCTTGGTTGTAATAAGCTACCCAACTTCAGCTTCAGCCATTAAGGAGTTTCTGACCTCCTTAAAATCTTATTTGCTGAAAGACAAAGTAATAAGCTTTTCAGTCAGTTGCATGCCAACCTCTGGCTCTCATTTCCAACCTGTTAAATGACTGGTATTAGTCATTCAATCGGTTGAGTGGAATCCAACTGTTTGGATTTCAACAAGGTTTTTGAGTTGTGTCAAGTTGAGGTGAACCATAGATATTCAAACCACCCACAACAATAGCATTCTGTCCCTCCCATTGAATTGTACCCTTTTCTATTTAGGTTTTGCTTTCTACGTTCATTTTTTTTATTTGTTTCATCTTTAGTTCAATTGTTACATGCTAATGCTATATCATGCATTTGAATTACTCTTGAATATTTCACTGAAGCTTTTACTGTTCTGTCTCCTTCCTTTCCACTGAAAGATTTTGAATTGAAATTATGTTTTGGCAGTTCTTTCAGCTGCCGGAGGGATCAAGGTTGATCATCCCAAGATGAGCACTGGTATTGCCTTAAATGTGAATTTTTCTCATTGTATTAGATTTCTTTCTATATATGTTTTGTTCATTTCACATTTCTTGTATCTGGAATATATAGCTTTTGCCTAATGGTTATATTTTTTTCTGGTTCAGATGTGGTTGTAATTGTAGCAGCAGTCATACTAGTGGGTTTATTTAGCATGCAACACTATGGAACAGATAGAGTTGGATGGCTTTTTGCTCCAATTGTGCTTCTTTGGTTTCTCTTAATTGGAGGTGTTGGTATTTTCAACATATGTAAATATGATAGCACTGTGCTCAGAGCTTTCTCTCCTGTTTATATCTATCGATATTTCAGGAGGGGAGGGAAAGATGGTTGGACATCCCTTGGAGGGATCATGCTTAGTATTACTGGTAAATGCAATCCTCAAATCCATTCATGGTTCATTTTAATCAGATACAAATAGTTACTATCCTAGGATTCTGATCGGCATATGGAGTCTTAACAATTACATCTCTATTTCAGGGACAGAAGCACTCTTTGCTGACCTATCCCATTTTCCAGTGTTGCCTGTTCAGATTGCATTCACTATAGTTGTGTTCCCTTGCCTTCTTTTAGCCTATTCAGGACAAGCTTCTTACCTCATGAAAAACCAGGAACATGTGAAGGATGCATTTTACCGCTCAATTCCAGGTTTGTCTTGACCCATTGCTTTTCATTGTTTGTTTTACTTGCAAGTCAGCTGACAATTCCCTGTTCTGCAGATGGTATATATTGGCCAATGTTTATTATTGCAACTGCAGCTGCTATTGTTGCTAGCCAAGCCACCATATCTGCAACGTTTTCTATAATCAAGCAGGCCCTTGCACTTGGCTGTTTTCCAAGAGTCAGGGTAGTTCATACATCAAGGAAGTTTCTTGGGCAGATATATATTCCAGATATTAATTGGATTCTTATGATCCTCTGCATTGCTGTCACTATTGGCTTCAAAAACCAAAGCCAGATTGGAAATGCTTATGGTAAGCTGATCTCCTGGTGTACTTTGCAACTTCTTTTTCTTTTCTTTTTATTTTTTTTGGAAGGCATTTGTATTTGTGTGTTCCTAGAATTCCAAACTGTAATTGGTTATCATCTAGGGCAACATATAATTGTTATCCATTATGTTAAGGTTGCTTATTAAAAAAAAAAGTTATCCATTAGGTTCCAAACAGATGAAACAGGGACTAGAAAGAACATTCTTTTTTATCAGTAACTGATAAATTGTATTAATTCAAAAATTTTTAATTAGAATACACAGCTCTCACCCAGAGTTGAAACCCAAAAACAGCTTATGAATACAAATTAGCCCAAAAAATTGCTCCCTGGACACCCCTTGCTTTGCTAGAGCATCTGCCAATGAATTTCCCGGTCTGTTGGCCAACCTATAAGTGGCCTTGACTCTCTTGCCAGCTTCGTAATTTCCTACATAACCTGTTTGAACCCTGACTGTTGTTCACCATCTAGCCCACTACCAACATAGAATCTCCTTCAATCTCTGTTTGTTTTAGGTTCAGCTACCTAGCTAGTTTTAGACCTTGAAGGAGAGCTATAAGTTCTGCGTTCAAAGAGTCTCCAACCCTTATAGGACCAGAGTAGAGGGCCAAAATAGATTCCCTTCTTTTTTTTTTATTTCATAGAGGTTCATTTTGATTTTATTGCAACTGGGTGCAACCCATACTTCTTGCATTGATACTTTCAAGGTAGATGATGCTGCCTAGCATTACATCCCACCCTCTAAGGAAATCATCCACCAAAAAAATCATTAAAGATCTCTAAATCTCCATTGCCTTGACCCGTAGATCACCTTCAATTTGATCTCTTCTATTAGAGTATCCAAACTTTTACTCTACCCCTTTAGCCACTAGAGAGATCTAGTGGCACTCCGCATTACCTTCCCTCTTCTTTCTGAAAATGATAGGAGTCATGTGCTAAATAAATTGGCAGCTTCCAAGGGTGGGGTCCATCTGCAACCAAAAAACTCCCAAACATCATCATCATCGTCCATGCCTTATGCCAACTATATGGGGTCAATTACATGAATGAGTAAGAGATAAGTAGACAGGATTTAGTCTCTCCACTAGCATTGCACATAATACATATATGGGAAGGAAGATAACTGTTTTTATTATCAGCAACCCAAAGAATTTCATTAAAGCTTAAAAAAGAAGAGAATACAACAACAAGTTGTTAGAAATAAAACCCTTTACTATTTTGATTAAAAAAAAAACTTTGCAACAAAAATTCCCACCACCCTTCTAACATTGAGCCCAAAACAAATGATGTTTATTAACTCCTTGCTTAGCTAGTCCATCTGCCAACCCATTACCAGACCTCCTGACCCATATTACATGAATTTGCATTTGTCTTGACAATAGCTTGAACCGCCCAAATTCATTTCTGAACTGCCATAACACTCCTTTTCTCAACCAACCAATGAGACTATTTTTGAATCCCTTTCTACAATCAACCTTGTAATTCCCATTTCCTTAGATTTTTGCACCCCAATAATAGCAGCCAAGAATTCAGCTCTCACTGAATCACCTTGATCAGTAGGCCCCAAAAACAAGCTCCAAATGCTTCCACTCCCATCTCTAATCACTCCAATTTCGGAGGGTCTCAGATTGCCAACTACTTCCATCAAAGTTAATTTTCATCCACCCACCACTTGGGGGAAACCAAACCTCCAGGACTTTTTGTTTCCTAGAGGAGGAAAGGGCAATCGACCCCCAATTTCAGAAAAAGTCTTCCATTGAGAAATTTGAGAATAGTTTGAAGGTGTTAAAATAATTTAGTTGCTGATGTTAGGGTCTGTTTGGATAATTAAAGTGTTTTTTATTTCGTTTTTTCTTTCTGTTATATCTGTTATTGTACTCAAGGGCACAAGGGTCTTTTCCCTTGTTATTTCTGCTGCCCTATATATATTAAAATAAAGGCTGGCGCCACCAGCACTGTTACATTGCAAAACCCTTCTTTCTTCTCTCCTCTCTTCTCTTCTCTTCTCTTCCTCTTATTTCTGGCCGGCCATACTGTCAAGATGGTATCAGAGCGGGCATACTAATTAAAGAGAGCAGATCGAACAACCTTATTGAGAGAACAGATCGAACAGACTTGCTGAACCTGGGCGGAACAGAAATCTGATTCTGGACTGAAAAAACAGCTCTACAACTGGTACAGTTCTCCCTGTTTTCTCTTCTTTACCCTCCTTGGTCATGTGCCGAGTGAAAACCCTATGAGTCTGGGCGGCTGAATGCTGTC